AATGATTGGAATTGTTAGGAATTGTATGGAGAATTTGCTAGATTCTTTTCTTTTGTTTTCGATTTTGTCTTTTGTGTTTATGAGCGATTTAGATTAGTTAATTTTGAAGGAGGATCTTGGTAGAAATTCATTGGAATGGATTTTTTCTTTTTTTGGAATAATGATTGGAATTGTTAGGAATTGTATGGAGAATTTGTTAGATTCTTTTCTTTTGTTTTCGATCTTGTCTCCTTTTGTGTTTATGCAATTTAGATTAATTAATTTGGGTGGAGGATCTCGTAGAGATTCGAATGAATTTTTCCTTTTTTTGGAATAATAATTGGAATTGTTAGGAATTGGTTGAGGAATTGGTATAGAAATAGATTAGTTAATTTGGAAGGAGAATTTCGTAGTGATTCATTGAAACACGAACGATTTTTCCTTTTTTCTTTCTAAGTGATTTAGACGATAATTTGGAAGAAGGATCTCGTAGAAACATCGTTTATTTTTTATTTGGAATAATGAAATTATTGAAATTGTTGAAATTGTTAGAAAGTAACACGAAGAATTTGATAAATTCTTTTGTACAATTTTCAACCTTTAACTATCTTCGTTTTTGTGAACGATTTGGGCGATAATTTGGATCTCGAAGCATTGAAATTTTAACTATATTTTTTTGAATAATAATTGAAATTGTTAGAAAAGATTCTTTTGTGGTTTGACCATTCTTCGTTTCCGTGCGAAAAAGATCGACAATTCGCAATTGGAAGCATGGAAAATTCGATAGATTCCTTTCGCTGCTCTTCTTTTTCTGGCGATAATCGGGCCGATAATTTGCGAGAGGAGGATCCCCCGTCGAAGAGGATTTTCTCTCTCTTTTTTTTTTTTTGAAACAACGAATCGAATCGCGAAATGGATGCAAGTAGAATTTCATCGATCTCTCGCCTTTATATTTCGTCGATGATTCGGAAGAAAAAGAGAAAAAGAAAAAAATCTCACGGTCCACTCGGCATTCTAAAAATCCATTCTAAAAATTCGGCGCATAAAATTCGAACGCGAGCCGATTCCCCAATCGAATCCTCTCGTCTAAGAAAAATTAAACCCTCTCCCTCGTTGCGCTGCGATAACGATACTAAAACACGAACCAAAGATCAATATATTCTATATTCGAATATAAATAACCACATGCATCGTCGAATATCAAAATTTAATCGTTCAAAATTCTATAATATAACTGAAATTTCACCTCAATCTCTCGAGGATCGTGTTTAAAAACGTATAAAATAATTCAAAAAAAAAAAGAAAAAAAGAAGAAGACGAAGAAAAAAAAGACAAATCGGTGTGTGCATGACTCGCGGAATGTGGCAATGTCGAAGGGCTAAGGTGGAAGAGTGAGGGAAGGGAGAGAGAGTGGAGGGGNTATATATATATATATATATATATATATATATATAAATCTACGTATATCCTTCACCTTTTTGCGGGCTTAGGATTAATGGATATTAACGTATCGCTACACGACGAATTAAATATTTCTATATTATTATATTTCTATATTTCTATATATATTATAATATTGATTTCTCGATATCGACGCACGTATTAAGATTTACATAGCGCTTATCTTTCGCGTATTATTTCAACTGTTCGATCGAAAGGATCGAGTGAAATTGAAAATCGAAAACGAGGAGGTTATAATACGAATAAAAAGATATCTGTCGATAAGATATCGTGCAATGATTCTTATTTATAAGAATACGTACGCACACGTATCTAGGAACGAAGGAAAGTGTAACGAATCCTCGAGTTTACCTCGAGAGGGGTTGGAAAGGAAAAAAGAGAAGCAAAGCTGGGTGTAAAGGGGAAAGGGGGGGGGGTGAGAGAGGGCACGTAATTGAATATATTTAAGCGCGGGAGGGACGTTTGTGCGGATTCTCGGCTTACAGGAACCCCATACCGAGGCAACGTCTGCGAGTAAACTGGATTAATCGTCTATGAAGGGAGACTACGAGCCCCCGCGCCGCATTCGTTCGCAATCAGATCCCCCATGGGGAATATACACGAAACAAACGTGTCCACGTTTCTCCCACTACGGTTCTTATTCCCGTCTTGTTCTCGCGTCCCGTTGCACGCGAAATTGTTAGTGGGAGGGTAGGAGGGGGGAGGATTGCAACGTCGTGTACTTTCGTGATGGGGAGGTGAAATTTTACCTTACGATGAGAAAAATGTGGTGAATCTCGTTTTTTGGAATTAATTAATTGTGTTCATTGGCATTTGGAAATTGTCGAGTTTGTTTTATATTAAGATCGTTATATTTCGTGTAGAGATTTAATTGTTTTTTAAATCGACGAAACATTGGATTGAATTTTTTGGAGAATTTCTCGAAAGGTTCTTTAGAATTTTTATCATTCAAATCGATAAAACATTGAATCGTGAATTTTTTCGAAAGTTTCTCAAAAGATTTTTTAGAATTTTCATTATTAAAATCGACAAAAC